TGCCACCACGAGGGACACCCGCTGAGGCAGGTGGCCCAATTTTCCTTCCTCAGGGGTACCCACAGGAGATTAGGGTGCCCCAGGACCACATGCTGGGGCCATACCTGCACATCGCGTACGTCCTGTGTGCCCACGTTGCCCAGCAGGGAGGCCACGCTGTCCTGGCCAAAGCCCAGCGAGCCACGGTAATTCACTAGGGGGTGTGGGGGCAGCATCAGAGCCCTTCCTCCCCTCGCCCAGCCCCACTGCAGACACTGTGCCACGCCGCAGCCCCAGCCCCATGGCATCGCTCACCCAGCAGTACAGCGAAGCCCATGCGGCAGAGTGCCACCGGGTACAGCATCCATCCAGCCGTGAAGACTGAGTGGGGACCCCCTGCGAAAGGCAAAGGCAAAGTGGGGTGATGTTGCCTTGCCAGGGTGGGGGCACAGGGCAGGGGGCAAGCTTTTACCATGGGGCATCACGACCAGGGGGGGCTTCTGGGTGGGAGGGCCCTCACTCGGGCGCAGCAGGATGGCATCAAAGTCCAGGCCCCCTGCAGAGGTGGAGTGCGGGGTGGCAGAGCTCGGCGGGGGTGGCAGACCCTGGCCCAGCCCCCCGGGCACTCACCATACTGGGGATGCTCCTGCTCCGGTGGGGGCTGAAGGGTACGGATGCCCCAGCTAATGCCAGGCACAGGGGGTGCATCCTGCAGGCAGACCCACCGCACCTGCACCTCCTGGCCAGCGTCGGGCAGGACGGCCACTTTCTGGGCGGGGAGAAAGCGTCAGTGCCAGCACTGAGAGGGGATGGTGGGCGCTAGGGAGGAGGGCATCACCTTACCAGTGTAGGGGGGCAGCTAGGGGTGGAGAACGTGGCCACCAAGAGGTCCCGGTCGATGGTGAGGACAGACCAGCTTCCTTGGGGGGCATCTGGGGAGAAGCAGGGGGTGAAATCTGCATGTGTGACCTCCTCCCCAGTCCTGGCAGCGGTATGGCCCTGCCTGGCTGGCACTCACCAGCTGTTAGCGAGGTCGCAGTGCCCGTCACTGTGTCCACCACGAACACGTCCTAAAGGCAAAAGAGCAGAGTCCAGCAGAGCCCTGACCTGGCCTGCCCCCTGCCCCTGCATGCCCCCCTGCTGTCCTGGCACAGCAGACCTCACCTGCTGGCTGCGCTGGACCGTATCCAGCACCAGCCTGCGGCTGTCGGACGCCCAGCACAGCCCCGGCAGAGCACTGCAGTAGATGCCCGGGAAGGCACCTGTAATGAGAGTGGCAGTGCTCAGAACCCCTCTGTGCCCCGCTGCCACCCCCAGGGCTGTACTCACCCCACGACTGCCGTGGAACAGCCTCTAGAACTGTGCTCGTGTGCTTGGTGTACCAGTCATACTGTAGGAGACATGGGACGGGATGAGTTTTGCACGGTGTCAGCTCACCCACCCCTGCTGCATCCCAGAGAAGGGTCACCACTGCCCTCCTGCCAGCCCCTGCCCCCACACGAGTGCCCCGCCACCTCCCTGCTGTCCCTCCCCAGTGCCACTCACCATGCGGAGGCGGCTGCACTGCTGGTGGGGGCCCAGGGCGTCGTTCTCCAGGTAGACAATGCGGCAGGAGTCAGGGCTGAGCCGAGGGGACCACACGGCCCTGGTGTCCTCAGAGAGTAGCTCTGCACAGGCATGAGGGGATGGTGAGGGGTTGTGGAGAGCCGGCGCGCTGGCAGGGTTGGGGCACAAACCACTCACCACATCTCCCGCCCGTCAGGTCCACGTAGAAGAGCGCTGACCTGCCGGCAGAGACGGGTGTCACTGTGGGGCCAGGGGCCCTGGCTGCGGGGCAGGGTGCCCCATGGGGACTCACCGGCGGTTGGTGCAGTGCCGCAGACCCAGGCGGAAGGGGTCGTGCCACCAGCCTACGAACACCACGCCGGTGTCACCGGGGGACCAGAAAGCCTGTGGGGAGACAGTGTGGGCTTGAGCTGCTCAGCCCACTGCTGCTCCCCGCAACCTCCCTTCTCCAGTTCTCCAGGGCACCCCGTCCTGACCTGGCCAGGAGAGAGGTGCTCCGGGATGCCCTCCAGTACTGAGATGCTGCTGCCCTCGATGTCCAGGGTGCAGAGGACGGGCACACTGCGGGTGCTCAGTGCCTCCCCCCAGTTCTCGTGGTATACAAACTGCTCGCCCTGC